AAATGAACAAACCCTCTAAGAAGTCTGGGATTATGTTAAGTGACCAAACCTAAGAATAATTGGTGTTCCCGAGGAAGAAGAAAAATCTAAAAGTTTGGAAAACTTATTTGAGAGAATAATTGAAAAAAACAAAACAAAACAATTCCCTGGCTTGCTAGAGATCTAGACATCCAAATCCAACAAGCTGAAAGAAAACCCAGAAAATTCACTGCAAAAAGAATTTCCTAGGCACATATTCATCAGGTTATCCAAAATAAAGAAGAAGGAAGAAACTTAAGAGCTGTGAGGCAAAAGCATCAAGTAACCTATAAAAGAAAACCTATTTGATTAACAGCAGACTTCTCAGCAGAAACCCTACAAGCTAGAATGGTTTGGGGTCCTATCTTCAGCCTCCTTAAAATAATTATCAGCCAAGAGGTTTTTGTTTTCTTTTTTTAAGATAGAGTCTCACTCTGTTGCCCAGACTGAAGTGCAGTGGCATGATCTTGGCTCACTGCAACCTCCACCTCCCAAGTTCAAGTTATTCTCCTGCCTCAGCCTCCTGAATAAATGGAATTACAGACACCTGCCCCAACACCCAGCTAATTTTTGTATTTTTAGTACAGATAGGGTTACACCATGTTGGCCAGGATGGTCTTGAACTCCTGACCTCAGGTCATCCACCTGTCTTGGTGTCCCAAAGTGCTGGGATTACAGGCATGAGCTACTGTGCCCAGCCCAACCAAAAGTTTTATATCCAGTGAATCTAGCTTCATAGAAGAAGGAAAGATACAGTCTTTTCCAGACAAACAAATGCTGAAAGAATTCACCACTACTAAGCCAGCACTATAGGAACTGCTAAAAGCAGCCCTAAATATTGAAACAAATCCCCAAAATACACAAAAATAGGACCTCCTTAAAGCATAAATCTCACAGGACCTATAAAACAATAACACAATGAAAAAGAAAGGTATTCAGTCAACAACTAGCATGATGAATAGAACAGTACAACTCAATGCTAATGTTGACTATAAATCAACTAAATGCGTCACTTAAAAAATACAGAATGGCAGATGAATAAGAATTCCTCCACCAAGTATATGCTGTCTTCAAGAGACTCACCTAACATATAAGGACTCACATCAACCTAAGTTAAAGGAGTAGAAAAAGATATTCCATGCAAAGAACAGCAAAGGCAGGCAGGAATAGCTATTCTTATATTAGAGAAAACAAACTTTAAAGGAGCAGCAGTTTAAAAAGACAAACAGAGACATCATATAATAATAAAATAACTAGTCCAACATCACAATTCCAAATATATATGCATGTAACACTGGGGCTTCCAAATATATGAAACAATGACTACTAAACCTAAGAAATGAGATACAAGGCACTACAATAATACTGGGGGACTTCAATACTCCACTGACACCATTAGGCAGGTTATCAAGACAAAGTCAACAAAGAAACAATGGACTTAAACTATACCCTAGAACAAATGGACTAACATATTTACAGAACATTCTAAACAACAACTGTAGAATATACATTCTATTCATCAACACATGGAACATTCTCCAAGATAGACTATATTATAGGTCACAAAACAAGTCTTAATACATTTAAGAAAAATTGAAATTATATCAAGTACTCGCTCAGACCACAGTGGAACAACTTTGGAAATCCACTCCAAAAGGAACACTCAAAACCATGCAAATACATGGAAATTAAATAATTATAAACAGACTAATACAGAAGGGTGGGAATGGGTAAGGAGCAAAAGACTGCACATTTGGTACAGTGTTCACTGCTCAGGTATCTTCAAGAGATTCACCTAACACTTAACAACTTGCATAAACTTAAAGGGGTTGAAAAAGATATTCCGTGCAAATGAATACAAAAAGCAAGCAAAAGTAGCTATTATATTAGACAAAACAAACTTTAAAGCAACAGCAGTTGCTTTTGGGTGCACTGAAATTTCAGAAATCACTACTAGATTTTAGAAACCACTGCTAAATAATTTATCCATGTAACCAAACACCCCTGTTCCCCCAAAACTATGGAAATAACTCCAGAGGGCTATCAGAGAACTTCCCATATCTAGGAAACGTATCAATATTCAAGTATAAGAAATTTATAGAAAATCTAGCAGATTTAATCCAAAAAAGAATACCTAGGTCATCTCCTAATCAAACTCCCAAAGGTCAAGTCTAAAGAAAGCAAAACTAAAACAGCAAGAGAAAAAAAAAAAAAAAACATACAACGGAGATCCAATACATCTGACAGCAGACTTTTCACTAGAAACCTTACAGGCCAGTAAAGAGTGACAAGACATATCAATGCTGAGGGAAAAACTTTTACCCTAGCATAATATATCCAGCAAAAATGTCCTTGAAGGATAAAGGAGAAATGAAAACTTTCCCAAACAAACAAAAGCTGAGGGATTTCATCAACACAGACCTGTCCTACAAGAAATATTAAAGAGAGTTCTTCAATCTAAAAGCAAAGAATGTTAATGAGCAAGAAGAAATCATCTGAAAGTATAAAACTCAATGGTAATAGTAAGTACACATAAAAACACAGAATATTGTAACTGTAATTGTGGTATGTAAACTATTCATATCTCAAGTAGAAACCAAAAGATGAACTCACCAAAAATTACTACAACAGCTTTTCAAGACATAGTACAATAGAACATAAACAGAAACAAAGTTAAAAAGTGGGGAAACAAAATGTATATTTTGGAGACAGTATCTTGCTCTGTCACTGGGCTGGAGTGCAATGGTGAAATCTCAGCTCACTACAACATCCGCTTCCTGGGTTCAAGCGATTCGCCTGTTCTCCTGCCACAGCCTCCCAAGTAGCTGGGATTGCAAGTGTGTGCCACCATGCCCAGCTAATTTTTTTTTCTTGTATTTTTAGTAGAGATGGGGTTTCACCACGTTGGCCAGGATGTTCTCAATCTCTTGACCTTGTGATCTGATCTGCCTGCCTCGGCCTCCCAAAATGCTGGGATTAGAGGTGTTAGACACTGCATCCGGCCTTAATTTTTTTTTTTTTTTTTTTTTGCGGTGGTGTTTCACTCCTGTTGCCTATTCTGGAGTGCAATGGTGCAATCTCAGCTCACTGCAACTTTGCCTTCCAGGTTCGAGTGATTCTCCTGCCTCAGCTTCCCGAGTAGCTTGGATTACAGGTATATGCCACTATGCTTGACTAATTTTGTAATTAATTTTTTTTTTTTTAGCAGAGATGGGGTTTCTCCTTTTTCGTCAGGCTGGTGTTGAACTCCTGACCTCAAGTGATCCACCTGTTTTGTCCTCCCAAAGTACTGGGATTACAGATGTGAGCCGCTGTGTCTGGCTTTTTAGTGTATAGTTTTTATTAGTTTTATTTTTGCTTGTTTGTTTATGCAATCAGTGTTGTTATTAGTTTAAAATAATGGATTATAAGATAGTATTTGTGAGCCTCATGGTAACTTCAAATCTAAAAACATACAATGGATATGCAAAAATAAATAAATAGCATAAAACTAAAAAATATTACCTGAGAAAATCACCTTCACTTAAAAAAAGAGAAGAAGAAAGGAAAGAAGAAACAGAATTTCACAACCAGAAAACAAATAACAAAATGGCATGAGTAAGTCTTTATTCATCACTGATAACACTGAATGTAAATGGTCTAAATTCTCCAATGAGAAGATGTAGAGTAGCTGAATGGATTAAAAAAAAAAAGGCCCATCACAGTGGCTCACACCTATAATCCAAGCACTTTGGGAGGCCGAGGTGGGTGCATCACTTGAGGTCAGTAGTTTGAGCCTGGCCAACATGGTGAAACTCTGTCTCTACCAAAAATACAAAAATTATCCCGGTGTGGTGGTGCAAGCCTGTAGTCCCAGCTACTTTGGAGGCTGAGGCAGAAAAATTGCTTGAACCCAGGAGGTGGAGGTTGCAGTGAGCCAAGATCATGCCACTGCACCCCAGCCTGGGCAACAGAGCAAGACTCTGTCTCACAACAACAACAACAACTACAACAAACCAAGCACCAATGATCTGTTGCCTTCAGGAAACACCCTTCACCTAAACACACACCTGAAAATAAAGGATGGAAAAAGACATACCATGCCAATGTAAACCCAAAAAGAGAATAAATAGCTATCCTTATATCAGACAAAATAGATTTCAAGATGCATGTTGTATCAAGAAACAGAGAAGGTCAGTAAACAATGACAAAGGGATCAGTTCAGCAGGGAGATATAACAATTCTAAATATGCAGTCAACACAGGAGCACCCTGATATGTAAAGCAAATATTGTTAGAGCCAAAGAGAGAGTTAGATGCATTGTGAAATTCTGTCAGCTTAAAGGAATGTTGCTGTACTGAGTGTCAGTTCCAGGACATTACTCAAAACTTAAAGGAGTAGCAATCCTGTTTACAGTTTCTCCTGCAGGCACTTTACAGTATCTTGAAATCCATTGAAAGTATTTGGAAAAGACATGGGTTTAGGCAAGTGTTTAATTCTTTTTGCAAATCCTCTTTTTATTTATCTTTAAAATAAAGATTGTTGCAAGATTGGATTTAGATAATACATGCATGATATTTAATACAGAGGAGGCATTAAGCACAAAAATTCCTGTTGTACAGAGCTCCACATGTAGGCAGTTCAGAAGTGCTTCCCAGGACCCTGGCGCTGGTGCCTGTCCCTCCTGCTGAAGCTGTTTTTCTTGATGTCCAGTGGCTGAATTCCAAATTCAGCACATATGCCAGAGGAATATGAGCCAAAGAAGTTGTTTTAGCTACTCATGCTGGGAATCCATGAGTCAAAGACTTGCTCAGCTAGTTCTGTATGTGAAAGGAATGGGCGTGCCTTCTGAAAAGGCCTTTTTAATTCTGATTCAGGAGATACATTATTAGATGCTACTTAATTTTGTCCCACAGATTTTTGGGCTGAGAAGGACTTGAGAGGTAAGGATCTGTGATCCAGAACTAGTTCCAGACTTATTCTTCTGGAACTAAAGAGGGCCTTCCCTGTGCTTATTTTTCCAGGATACTGCATTGGAAACTGAGTCAGGGACCCATTGGTGCGAAGAAAACAGGGAGTAGAATCACATTGAACTGGTCCTGGAGTTTGTCTGATAATTTCTGCTTGGCAGCAGGAGGTCTGGAGATGGCAAGGGGCCCTACTTAATTGTACTATTTCTCTCTCTCTCTTTTTTCAGGCAGAGTCTCACTCTGTCATCCAGGCTGGAGTGCAGTGGTGCTATCTTGGCTCACTGCAACCTCTGCCTCCCAGGTTCAAGCAGTTCTCTGCCTCAGCTTCCCAAGTAGCTGGGATTAGAGGTGCCTGCCACCACACCCAACTGATTTTTATCAGTTTCACCATCTTGGCCAGGCTGGCATTGAACTCCTGACCTCGTGATCCACCCACTTTGGACACCCTGAAAGTGCTGGGATTACAGGTGTGAAGCACCGTGCCCAGCCAATTTCTCTATTGGACAAAAGGATATACAACCTGGTAAGTCCTAATGGGATCAGGGGATGAAAAAGAAAAGATAGTATCATCAGTGACAAAAATGTTCAGGATGAGTTTGTGAAATGAGTCGAAGATTTTTTTTTTCCTACATAATTTGACTGAAAAGAAAGTTAAGTTTTTCTTAATCATTGAGAATTCCAGATAGCATGTAAGGCTAAGGAATATATCTCTGATACATTAGTGCACAGGTCCAGTCTTAGAGAAGCTTCTTTTGTTGTCATTATTCTCTGTTGTCCTGTGGCCTTTTACACGGCTCATATCAGAGATAATTGAAATGGTCACATCGGGACTTTTCCATGAACTGTTAAAAATCCCGTCTGTCTTCATTATTAAACATTTTAGAATATTCTAAACTGAATTCCATATAGTTAGAAAATCCTGTTCCTTTTGTTTTAATTGTAACAATGCAATTATACTTTTAGTTATTTTTAAATGTACAGTTACTTTCGGCTATAGTCACCTGTTGTGCTATCAAATACTAGATCTTATTCAGTCTTTCTATTTTTTTTTTGTACTCATTAACCATCCCCACCTCCCTCCCACATCCTAATACCATTCCCAGACTCTGGTAACTATCATTTTACTCTTTATCTCTGTAACTTCAATTGGCTTAATTTTTAGCTCTCACAAATAAGTGAGAACATGAAAAGTTTGTCTTTCTGTGCTTGGCTTATTTCACTGAATGACCTCCAGTTCCATCTAGGTTGTTGCAAATGACAGGATCTCATTCTTTTTTATGGCTGAGTAGTACTCTGTTATGCATATGTGTCACATGTTGTTCACCCATTCATTTGTTGGTGGATACTTGCATTGCTTCCCGATCTTGGCTATTGTGAACAGTGCTGCAACAAACATGGGAGTGCAGATATCTCTTCAACATACTGTTTTTCTTTCTTTTGAGTGTATATAGAGCAGAGAGATTGCTGGGTTGTATGGCAGCTCTATTTTTAGCTTTTTGAGGAAGGTCCAAACTGTTATCCATAGAGGCTGTACTAATTTACATTCCCACAAACAGGGTACGAGGTTCCCTTTTCTCAACCTTCTCTTCAGCATATTTGGTACTTGTCTTTTGGATATAAGCCATTTTAACAGGGGTGAGACATCTCATTGTAGTTTTGATTGATATTTTTCTGATAATTAATAATGTTGAGTACCTTTTCATATGCCTGTTTTTCACTTGTATGTATTCCTTTGAGAAATGTCTATTCAAGTGTTTTGCCAGTATTTAAATCTGATTATTAGATTTTTTCCTATAGAGTTGTTTTGACTCCTTATATATTCTTGTTATTAATCCCTTATCAGTTGGGTAGTTTGCAAATATTTTCTCCTATTCTGTGGGTTGTCTTTTTCTCTTGTTGATTGTTTCCTTTGATGGAAGGAATCTTTGTAACTTGATGAGATCCAATTTCTTGATTTTTGCTTTGGTTGCCTGTGCAGCCAACAATGCAGCCTTTCCCCATGCTTGTTTTTGTCAGAGTTTTCACAGATCAGGTAGCTGTAAAAGACAAGCAGTGGGGAAAGACTGCATTGTTGGCTGCATGTTATGTCTTCTTCATTCAATAAATTGTGCTGGGATACCTGACTAGCCATATGCAGAAGATTGAAACTGAACCACTTCCTTACATCATATACAAAAATCAACCTAAGATGGATAAAAGACTTAAACGTAAAACCCAAAACTATAAAAAACCCTAGAAGACAACCTAGGCAATACCATCCTGGACAAAGGAACTGGGCAACATTTCATGATGATGCCAAAAGCAATCACAATAAAAGCAAAAATTGACAAATGTGATTAAACTTAAGAGCTTCTGCACAGCAAAAAAGCTATGAACAGAGCGAACAGGCAACCTACAGAATGGGAGAAAATTTTTGCAAACTATAAAGTTGACAAAGGTCTAATATCCAGCATCTATAGGGAACCTGAGCCAATTTACAAGAAGAAAAAACCCCATTAAAAAGTGGGCAAATGACAAGAACAAACACTTTTCAAAAGAAGACATACATATGGCCAACAATCAGGTGAAAAAAGCTCACCATCACCGATCATTAGAGAATGCAAACCAACACCAAAGTGAGATACTATCTCACACCAGTCAGAATGGCTATTACTAAAAAGTAAAAAAAATAAAATAAAAAAATGACAGATCCTGGCAAGGTTGAGGAGAAAAAGGAATGCTTATACACTGTTGATGAGAAAGTAAATTAGTTCAACCATTGTGAAAGACAGTTTAGTGATTCCTCAAAGTCCTAAAGACAGAAATACCATCTGACCCAGCAAGCTTATTACTGGGTATATACCCAAAGGAATTGAAATCAGTCTATAATAAAGACATGTGTGCGTATATTCATTGCAGCACTATTAACAATAGCAAAGACATGGAATCAACTTAAATACCCATCAATTGTGGACTGGATAAAGAAAATATGGTACATATACCTCTTGGAAAACTATGTAGCCAAGAAAAGAACAAGAACATCTCCCAATGGAGCTGGCGGCCCTTATCCTTAGCAAACTAACACAGAAACAGAAAACCAAGTATCTCATATTTTAACTTATAAGTGGGAGCTAAATGATGAGAACACATAGGTTCATGGAGGGAACCAACACATATCCTTTACTGGAAGGTAGAGGATGGATTGTGGGAGGAGGGAGAAAATCAGGAAAAATAATGAATGGGTACTAGGCTTAATACCTGGATGAAGAAATAATCTATACAAGACACCTCAGTGACAGGAGTTTACCTATATAACAAGCCTGCACATGTGCACCTGAAACTAAAATGACCCCTTAAATAAAATAAAATAAAAATCTCTCAGAAAAATAAAGAAGAATTTCCCTGACCTTTTAGTTGTTGTAACTGAAAACCAAAATCTCTCTACCACAGGTTTTGAAAGCATCAGGCACCATTCATTTGTGATACCACTCATGATTTATGAATATGCATGAGCTCACTAGTAAAATCATTTGGTGAAGATTTGTCTTTATCACTATGCTGTGAGACCCAAGAGATTAGAGGCCATTCTTATATTGCTCACCACTATATTGCCAATTCCTGAGAGAGGGCCTAGCATCTAATGGGTGCTTATTAAATGTTTGCAGAATGAATGAATAAACAAGCAAATCGACAAATTGATTAGTGAAGAACCAATTTCCCTGGAATTGTAGCAAACCATCCTTTTCATGGATGTTGTCTCTACCTTCAGTGTAGACTAGGACCTGATCACTTCTCATCACTTTGAGTGCAATGCCCTGGCCTCATCTCTCACTAACGATTACCTGTAGTATCACAAAACTGCCCTAACTAGACTCCCACTTCTGGCTGTACTCCCTTACTGCACGCTATTGTCAACACAGCCACCATAGGCATCTCTCTTCAAAAGATGCAGTAGATATGTCACTTGTGTGTTCAAATCCCTCCAAAGACTTTTAATCTCACTTCAAGTAAAAGAGAGTGATGAAAATGACCAACAGGGGCCTTCACCAACTTGCCCTCAGTTTCTTCTGACCTCATCTTCTTTCCTTTCCACTTCACTTATTCCAGGCACACATTACTGCCAAGTCTTTGCACTTGCTGATTTCTCTACCTGGCATTCTTTTCTCCACATAATATTCACTGTTTATACCCTGCCTCCTCTACATTATTGTTCAAATGTCACTTCTCAGTGTGGCTTTCTCTGTAAAATTGCAAACACCAACATAAGGTCTACCACTACTCATATCATCTTAACTTAAGCCCGGTCTTCCCTCTGGCCGTTCAGTTGATGATAGTATTCAGCCCTTCCTTATTCCCATTATTTAGAGTATTCCCGGGTTAGAGGTGAGGAGATACCCAGGCTTTCCTACTCCAACCATAAGGGGCAATGAATTTCATTGCAATGCCTCTGTCAGAAGCCCAAATTGTCTTTAGAATCCCAAAGTTGGAAGCTAGTTGTGGTGGTGTGTGCCTATAATCCCAGATGCTAGGTAGGATGAGGTGGGAGATTCACTCGAGCCCAAGAGTTCAAGATCAGTCTGGGCAACATGGCAAGACCCCATCTCAAAAACAACAAAAAAATGAACTCGAAGTTGAGAAAGTTATAATGTAGTCACTATTTTAGATTAAGACCTGCTAATCTCATATGTAGATCTTTTCCTTTAGGGGAAATAGCAATAACTGGTGAGAGTTTAACCATTTTCTTCTCCTCCCAACTGAACTTTGTGCTCTCCTTTCATCTCCCGTAGCAACATGTCCTCTATGTTCCAACGCATTAGCAAAAGTTTGGTCAAAGAGGTTGGAAGAGATGACCTGACGCCTGTCAAATGCCCAGTCCGTGCCATCAAATTACGTCAGTTTGCCATATTACAAAAGATGAATAATTCTCGTTCAGTTTTTTGGGAACAGTGTGACTATGTTCCACTTCAGTTCTCCCTCAGTGACATCCTGGAGTCAAGTTCTTCAGTCCCAGGTATCATCAGCCAGAGGCCAAGGAGATGAGGGGTAAAAAACATTGCTGGTCAGATAGACAGATGGCCCAGCATCCAAAAATAACTGAGCACCCAGAAAGGAGCTCTCAGGACCAGCCTTGCCTGTAGGCAAGGGGCAAGGAGCAAAGACAAACTGAGACAAATTGAGAATCCTACTAATTATCTGGTTGTAGATGTTCATTAGGTCATTTAGTATTTGCATCAGGCTCATGAGGTGAAGATGTTATCCCCACTTTACATAAGAGTAAGTATAATGCTATACAATTATCTGTTCAAAATTATGTACCTGAGGGCTGGACACTGTGGCTCATGCCTTTAATCCCAGCACTTTGGGCGCTGAGGTGGGCAGATCACTTGAGGCCAGGAGTTTAAGACCAGCCCAGCCAACATGGCAAAACCCTGACTCTATTAAAAATACAAAAAAAATTAGCCAGGCATGGGTGGTGGACTCTTGTAGTCCCAGCTACTTGGGAGGCTGAGGCATAAGAATTGCTTGAGCCCAGAAGGTGGAGGTTGCAGTGAGCTGAGTTGCACCACTGTACTCTAGCCTGGGTGACAGAGTGAGACTCTGTCTCAAAACAACAACAACAATTAAACAAAAAACAAAGTTAGGTACCTGGGAACTGGTAGAACTGAGATCGAAACCCAAGTCTGTCTGGCTCCACACCTTAAACATTTTCTGCCCCCGTGTGCTGCCCTCTGAGGCTGGGTGCTGTGCCTGCTGCAGGGGAGACAGCGTGCCTGGAAGGATAATCCTATGGGTATTCCACATTGTACGTTTGACACCACTATTTCTCAGGGTGAATATTTTATCTCTGTCACACAGTGCCCAGTAGATTTAAACATTTTCCCTCTGTAGCAATTTACATTCACATTAATTGATTAGTTTTCAACAGAGTTTTATATGAGTGGGAGGGTTGGGGCAAAATAGGTCTTTGTTATTTCATTTTACATACCAGCTGTTCTTGGCTAAACCTATGAATTCCTGAATCGATTCTTGGCTAAACCTATGGCCATTTTTTCTTTCCCCAGATACTGATGTGAATGGACCATTATATTTCTATGACACTATGATCCAAAAGTATGAGGCTGGCATAGGTGTGAATGTTGGTGGAGAATTGAGTGTGTCAGGGGAGGCCTCTGCAGACCAGGGAGGCTCCCTTGGGTATCAGATTGTGACCATCTCAGCTCCAAACCTGGAAGTCTTCCAAAAAAGGTGAGGCCATGGGAGAGGAAGGGGATGGATCAATAGTATCCCAGAGGGTGCTTTCCTTGTACATAAAAATGCATCTAGCAGGCCTTGTTGCAGGGATCAAAATCAAGATGACAACATCCCAGATTCTGCTACTCTTCTTGAGTATTCATACCTTCTGTTACTCAAGTAATAGTTATTAGTTACCTAACAAATACTCACCAGACCAGTAACTACCCACTACTGTGTTGTTATATTCTGGGGATAGAATGAAAACAAGACAAATATAAATACCTGTCATATTTAAGAGAGAAAATAAACAATAAAAAATAAATTAACAAAGTTAATTTGAGATGAAGACTCTAAAACTATTTAACATGTACATTACTGTCTTTGGATTTATTTTTATTGTTTTCAGCTCTATTGAGGTATAGTTGACAAATAAAATTGTATGAATTAAAGGTGTACAATGTGATGATTTGACGTATGTATATATTCTGAAAAGACCACAATAAAGTCAGTTAACATGTCTATTATTCCACCTAATTATCATTTTTTTGTGGTAAGAACATTTAATATCTACTCCATTAGCAAATTTCAAAGATACAATATGATATTGTTAGTTATAGTCTGTGTACCCTTTGACCAATGTCCCTCCATTTTCCCGACTTCCTAGTCCCTGTTAACCACCATTATATTTTGTTTCTATAAGTTTGACTTTTTCAGATTCCACATATACATGAGATTAAGATTATACAGTATTTGTCTTTCTCTGTCTGACTTTTGTTTAGCATAATGCCATTCAGGTTTATCCATGTTGTTGCAAATAGCAGGGTTTCTTTCTTTTCTATAGCGGATAATATTTCATTGCCTACACATACCACAATTTCTTTTTCCATTCATCTGTTGACAGGCACTCAGGTTGTTTTGGTGTCTTGGCTGTTGTGAATAATGTTGCAATGAACATGGAAGTGCAGATCTGTCTCCGAGCTACTGATTTAGTTTTCATTGGCTGTGTACCCAGAAATAGGATTGCTGGATCATATGGTAGTTCTATTTTTAGTTTTTTGAAGAACCAACATACTGTTTTCCATATGGCTATATCAATTACATTCCCATCAATAGCACACAAAGATTTCCTTTAATTCACATCTTTGCCAACACTAATCTTTTTGTAAAAGCTATCCTAACAGATGCAAAGTGATGTCTCATTGTGGTTTTTATTTGTATGTCCCTGATAAGCAATGTCGAGCACCCTTTAATGTGCCTGTTAGCTGTATATGTGTCTTTTTTGGAGTAAATATCTTTTTGTTTTTTTCCCTTTTTTTTTTTTTTTTTTTTTTTTTTTTTGAGATGAGTTTCACTCTGCTGCCCAGGCTGGAGGGCAGTGGTGTGATTTTGGCTCACTGCAACCTTCACCTCCTGGGTTCAAGCAGTTCTCCTGCCTCAGCCTCCCTAGTAGCTGGGACTAACAGGTGCACCCTGCCACACCTGGCTAATTTTTTATTTTTATTTTTAGAAGAGACAGGGTTTCATCATGTTGCCCAGGCTGGTCTCAAATTCCCGAACTCAGACAATCCTTCTGCCTTGGCTTCCTAAAGTGCTAGAATTACAGGCATGAGTCACCCTGCCCAGCCACCCATTTTTTAAATCAAGATTTTTGTTTTTGCAGTTTAGCTATATGAGTTCCCTATACATTTTAGATATTAACCCTAAGGTATATGGTTTGCAAATATTTTTGACCACTCTGTAGGTTGCATTTTTACTCTGTTGATTGTTTTCTTTGCTGTGCAGAAACTTTTTAGTTTGCTAGAGTACCACTTACTTTTTCTTCTGATGCTGGTGTTTTTGGTGTCATATCCAAAAAATTGTTGCCATACCCAATCTTGAGGACATTTTTTCCTCTTTTTCTAAAAATGTTTTAAGTTTCCATGTCTTATATTTACGTTTCTAATCTACTTTGAGTTGATCTTTGAGTGTGATATAAGGTAAGGACCCAGTTTTAGTCTTTTGCATTTGAAAAATCTTTTGCATGTGAAAAGTCTTCAGTCTTTTGTTGAGAAAACTGGATAATTTCCTCAACACCATTTTTTGAAGACTCTATCCTTTATCCTACAGTCTATTCTTGGCATTCTTGTCAAATATTGGTTGATCATACACATATGAGATTATTTCTTGGCTACCTACTCCACTGGTTTATATGTCTGTTTTTATGCAAGTGCCATAAATTTTAACTTCTATAGCTTTGTAATATATTTGAAATCAGGAAGTATGGGATGTCTGGCTTCGTTCCTTTTTTTAAATATATTTTTTATTGTACTTTAGATTCTGGGGTACGTGTGCAGATCACGCAGAAATGTTGCATAAGTACATACATGGCAATGTGGTTTAGTGCCTCCATCCGCATGTCACCTATATCTGGCATTTCTCCCCATGTTATCCCTCCCCAACCTCCCTATCCCCCACTGTCCCTCTCCTAGTCCTTCCCAACAGACCCGAGTTTGTGATGCTTCCCTCCCTGTGTCCATGTGTTCTTATTGTTCAACACCTGCCTATGAGTGAGAACATGCAGTGTTTGATTTTCTGTTCTTGTGTCAGTTTGCTGAGAATGATGGTTTCCAGATTCATCCATGTCCCTACAAAGGACACAAACTCATCCTTTTTTATGGCTGCATAGTATTCCATGGTGCATATGTGCCACATTTTCCTTGTCCAGTCTATTATCGATAGGCATTTGGGTGGTTCCAAGTCTTTGCTATTGTAAACAGGGCCACAATGAACATACGTGTGCATGTGTGTTTATAATAGAATGATTTATAGTCCTTTGTGTATATACCCAGTAATGGGATTGCTGGCTCAAATGGAATTTCTATTTCTAGGTCCATGAGGAATCACCACACTGTCTTCCACAACGATTGAACTAATTTACAGTCCTATCAACAGTGTAAAAGCACTCCTATTTCTCCACATCCTCTCCAGCATCTGTTGTCTCCAGATTTTTTAATGATTGCCCTTCTAACTGGCGTGAGATGGTATCTCAGTGTGGTTTGATTTGCATTTTTCTAATGACCAGTGATGATGAGAATTTCTTCGTATATTTGTTGGTTTCATATATGTTTTCTTTTGAAAAGTGGCTCTTCATACTCTTTGTTCAATTTTGAATGCGTTTGTTTGTTTTTTTCTTGTAAATCTGTGTTAGTTCTTTGTATATTCTGGATATTAGCCCTTTGTCAGATGGGTGGATTGCAATAATTTTTTCCCATTCTGTTGGTTGCTGGTTCACTCTAATGATTGTTTCTTTTGCTATACAGAAGCTCTGGAGTTTAATTAGTTCCCATTTGTCTATTTTGGCTTTTGTTGCCAATGCTTTTGGTGTTTTGGTCATGAAGTCCTTGCCTATACCTATGTCCTGAATGGTTTTGGCTAGGTTTTCTTCTAGGGTTTTTTATGGTGTTAGGTCTTATGTTTAAGTCTTTAATCCATCTGGAGTTAATTTTAGTGTAAGGTGTCAGGAAGGGGTCTGGTTTCTGTTTTCTGCACATGGCTAGCCAGTTATCCCATCACCATTTATTAAACAGAGAATCCTTTCCCCTTTGCTTGTTTTTGTAAGGTTTGTCATTACTGTAGCCTTGTAGTATAGTTTGAAGTCAGGTAGCGTGATGCCTCCAACTTTGTTCTTTTTGCTGAGGATTGTCTTGGCTATGTGGGCTCTCTTTTGGTTCCATATGAAGTTTAAGGTGTTTTTTTCCAGTTCTGTCAAGAGGGTCATAGGTAGCTTGATGAAGATACTATTAAATCTGTAAATTACTTTGTGCAATATGGCCATTTTTGCAATATTGATTCTTCCTAATTTTCCATCTGTTTGTGTCCTCTCTTATTTCCTTGAGCAGTGGCTTGTAGTTCTCCTTGAAGAGGTCCTTTACATCCTTTGTTAATTGTATTCCTAGGCATTTTATTCTCTTTGTAGCAATTGTGAATGGGAATTTGCTCTTCATTTCCTTCTCTTTTAGTCTGTTATTGGTGAATAGGAATGCTTATGATTTCTGCACATTGATTTTGTATCCTGAGACTTTGCTGAACTTGGTTGTCAGTTTCAGGAGATTGTGGGTTGAGACAATGGGGTATTCTAAATATACAATCATGTTGTCCGCAAATAGAGACATTTTGACTTCATCCTTTCCTTATTGAATACACTTTATTTCTTTTTCTTGCCTGATTGCTCTGGCTAGAACTTATAGGAGTGGTGAGAGAGGGGACCCTTGTCTAGTGCCAGATTTCAAAGGGAACACTTCCAGTTTTTGCCCATTCAGTATGATATCAGCTGTTGGTTTGTCATAAATAGCTTTTATTATTTTGAGATATGTTCCATCTATACCTAGTTTATTGAGAGTTTTTAGCATTAAAGGGCTGCTGAATTTTGTCAAAGGCCTTCTCTGCATCTATTGAGATGATCATGTGGTTTTTGTCTTTGGTTTTGTTTATGTGGTAGATTATGTTTATAAACTTGTGTATGTTGAACCAGCCTTGCATCCTCAGGATGAAGCCTACTTGATCATGATGGATAAGCTTTTTGATGTGCTATTGCAATCGGTTTGCTAGTATTTTATTGAAGATTTTTGCACCTATGTTCGTCATGGATATTGGCCTGAAGTTTTCTTTTTTTGTTGAGTCTCTGCCAGGTTTTGGTATCAGGATGATGTTGGTCTCATAAAATGATTTGGGAAGAATTCCCTCTTTTTGGATTGTTTGGAATAGTTTCAGAAGGAATGGTACCAGCTCCTCTTTGTATGTCTGGTAGAATTTGGCTGTGAACCCATCTGGACCTGGGCTTTTTTTGGTTGGTAGGCTATTAATTACTGCCCCAACTTCAGCCCTTGTTATTGATCTATTCAGGGTTTCAACTTCTTCCTGGTTTAGGCTTGGGAAGATGCAAGTGTCCAGGAAGTTATCCATTTCTTCCAGGTTTACTGGTTTATGTGCATAGAGTTGTTTTTAGTAATCTTTGATGGTAGTTTGTATTTCTA